GGCAAGGATAACTCTATAAAGAAGCAATGTGACGTGTTTTGTGTATTGTTCCCACAAGTAACAAAATAACATCAAATTTCGTATAATTTGATAACTGAACTAGAAATAAAATCTCTATGTAGCTTATAAAAAGGGACGTGAAAGTGAATTTTGATTCTTCTATGTGAGTGTTCTGTTATTCTGCATTTCGATTATTTGTATTTTGTCTCTAAGTGAGGGGGGGGGGGGGGGGGGTGTTACTGATAATCAAGTTATACATGTACTATAATGAGTACCAATAAAAAATTATATCAAGAATTTGATTTAAAACTAAATACATCCCTTTCCAATTTCCTTTGTCTCCCCACTCGACTGTGACCGTTGATCGATCTTTTACTGATCGATATCAATGCAAGTGTCTGCCGTTTCATGCTGCATTGCTTTGAAGACGACATGCGCATATTTTCATAGCTGACGTGGATAAACTCTGTTTGTAAATCATACACACAATATTATATCCTTATTTTTATAACTTTTAGTTTTAGGGAATTATGCCCGTTAGAGTGTATTACAGGCTTCTGAATCCCTTCCCGAGAATTCGTGTGCATTTCCTGTCGAATTCACTACTTATAATTTTCGATTTTGTTAATCAAATAATGAGTATATACATGAAAAGTACTGTGTTTGTCTATAAAATTAAATTGTTAGCATTGGCTATATAAAATATTTTGTTCATCGAAAAATGGATCTAAACAAATCGCACACCTTTTTTTTAAGCCTTCGGAGATTCGCGGTTTTTATTTGAAACAATTTTTTTTCAAGGTCTGTAACGCAAGTTATGGTAAGGCCATTCCAAGTTTTTTTTTTTTTTTTTTTTTTTTTTTTTTTGGTTGTTTTGTTGTTGTTGTTGTTTTTTTCTATGAGCAGTGTACGCGGACGAATTGGTTTTGAGGTTATGAAATTAAAAACAAACACAAATTAAAATTAATAAATACAAAGCTTTGAAACGCAAACACAGAGTTAACTCAAATTAAAATGAACAAATACGAATCTCCGAAATGCATTTCACTCTTTTGGGATTGACATCTCTCTTTTTAAGTGGTGTAACATTTTTTTTTCAATAAACTATAGTAATTTAACTAAGTTTTATGGCGATGGCGAGGAGAGGTCTCAAATGATAATAAGAAATTCTAGAACTGTTCTGAAAATTCTGCGTTTTCCCCCCTTTGGTTTGTGTGTTTTCTCGGATAGGAAGATAGGTTTTCGAATTTAGGATAAACGCTAAACAAAGAAAAAACTTGGAATGGCCTCATCAATCAGGACTCTTATAATCGGTCTCCTCTTCTGGTTTGAACATAGAAAGTGATTGTGTGTAAGTATATTGGGGATTATTCCTGGTTAGTGTATTTTACATGAACCATGCAGTAAAGCGGATCCACTGGAATGAATAAATAGCGATCCATAAAAGAAATCCTAACATAAAAAAAAAAACATTTTAACGCAGTTTAAGACACCTCTTAACCCCGTAATAGTGATCGAGTAATTTATACGTTTATCCAAAAAAAAAAAAAAAAAAAAAAAAGAAAGAAAGAAAGAAAGAAAATACGAAAATAACAGCACTGCCATTTGTTGGAATGGAAAAGGGAAGTGGTGTTGATGGCTTTTTCATTGCCAAAAATCCAATTTTGACAACTTAAAATGGAATGTTTCAATTTTCTTTTTAATATTGATTCGTGTATTTTTAAAAATTTTAATGTAACTACATAGACAATGCGGAAAATGATCGAAGAAATCATTAGGACATTTTTACATAAAAAATAATAAATTTAATACGAGCACAATTTTAAAAGAAGTACTACCTTGTCTCGTCTGTATGGATGAATCAAGCTTCATTACTTGTCTGATGAAATCGATTGTAATAAAATTATATTTTCCTGTCAATTATTATACTCCTTCCAGCTATCAAACATACATTACGATGAATTGAAATAAAAGTTCAAAATTGTTTTCTGGAACATAAGGCAGGCTAAAGTAAATAGTTTCCGGTTCAGAGAATTTACAGATTTCTTTTAACGTAACGTTAAAATCAATAACGCCGTGATGACGTTATCACGTCAAAATTTGTAATTTATAAAGAAAACTCCCCATTCTTCGAGAACTCTGACGGAAAAACGGTTTGTGATAATAAAAAAAAAATAAAATGATTTCGAAAGGACACATCGTAGACATGTTTGTAAAAAACTGAAATCAAATTTGGAGACAGGGCCGCTCTGTTATACGTAACGTACCCAGTTCTTTATTCCTTATAATTTAATTTCCCATCATTAAAGTATAGCAAATAAGACAATTTCTCCTTCAAAAATGCTTTAAAATTGTACAAGTTTTAAAAGTAACGTCAAGCGGATTGATACTTTTTTGACGTAATTCATTGTGACGTAGGCAACACAGGCTATACGATGTAGACTAATTTTTTATCCAATTAAATTACGCGTTACAACAAAAATTAAATTATTTACAGATAATTCGTAAATTGGTTTAATTTGGTGTAATATAAACCAATGAACTAAATTTATTGTAAAAATCGTTTCGTGCAAACCGTGTAGCGTTTCGTGTAAACCGTGCAGCGTTTCGTGTAAGCTCCAAAGCGTTTCGTGCAAACCGTGTAGCGAGCGTGCGAGAAGAGTGTGAGAAACGTGCGACTTTCGTGTAAGAACCGTGTGAGAAACGTGCGACTTTCGTGCAAGAATCGTGTGAGAAACCTGTAGGATTCATTCGGAAGTCCTTTAAATTTATTTTTAATATGACTATTGTTGGATTAACATGTCATTCTGTGTTGTTTGTAATGAATATTATTCGGATATATCATACCGGTGGTATTTTAAGAGTGAAAAAAAAATACGGAAACAACAAAATAAAATTATTCGGTAGTGTATTACATATTTGTTTGATTTTCTTAAAAATTTAATAGAAAATCCAGATCGAGGCTAAAGCGTGCGAGAATCGTGTACAAAGCGTGTGAGAAACGTGTACAAAGCGTTTCGTGCAGGCTTTCGAGTAAACCGTGCAGCCTTTCGTCCAAAGCGTTTCGTGCAAACCGTGTAGCGTTTCGTGCAAACCGTGTAGCGTTTCGTGTAAACCGTGCAGCGTTTCGTGCAAACCGTGTAGCGAGCGTGTACCGTTCGTGCAGCGTGCGTGTGGGATAGTAGCACGTTTCAGGGTCTGTACATGTGATAAATTATTATTTAGTGTAAAGGGTATTTCCTTGTATAATTTTTCTTTGATTGTTTGTTCTCTGATTTGATTGTTTTAATTCTGTTAACAATTCAGAAATAAGAATCGCATAAGAATTTTATGTGTGTATGTAAATCATATTTCTCAATTCTTACCAGAATTACAGCCATCAAATCAAATTGCAACAAGGATTGTTACAAACGTAGACTGCATTTAGATTAATTATTCTTTTTTTTTTTTTTTTTTTTTTTTTTTTTTTTTTTTTTTTGTTTAGACAAACAATGTTGTCATGGTTACTAAAATAGAACTTCCGCGAAAGTCGTTCAAAACATTGGGCACAGTATCGTAGAGGCTGTTTTTTTTCCTTACCTTGCCGTAAAAAAAATCGACGTTGCAAACTTGAAATTCCTTTTTTTTCAGTGCACGTTTTATTCCATTCTATAATTACAGGTTCAATAAGATGTTTAAAGTTCTATCATGGTTAGTATATGGTCGACACATCTGAATATGTAGTATTACCTTGTATGAACGAAAATACATTGTATTATGCATATCTTCACCCTCATAGAGAAAAACCAAAGTCAAAATAATTTTGAAATAAATAGATGTCTTTTTGTGCTGATGGCTTGAAACTTGCATAGGCGTTAAACACGCATGTGCCAAATTTTCTTTTTTACAGTACTTAAGTAAACATCTAACCTTAGAGGGAAAATAGAAATAAAATGGTCAAGTAACTAGAGATACGCTAGTATCATGAGAAAATAAATGAAAATGATAAAAAGAAAATCGTGCGATGGAAGCCTTTGAAAATGAAAACTATGTTAAAGTACAACAATTATTAAATATGTGTAAACAAATCTACCTTTCGCAGTTGCAGAAGCAAACGTTAATCATTTAAGAGAAAAATCTTTTGGAATATAAATACTTTGAATGTTGTTGCAGATTGAATAATCATACTGTTGCAATAGAAATAGTATTTTCAAATGTCAGACAAGTTCTACCTGTGCTCATTGATTCAGTGGCATAATTACGATTTAAATTGTTTTACTACAATATTGCATATTTTTTCATGTTCATTTAATTATCAAAGATTTCAAAAGTTTGTAAAATAAGTATACACTAACTTTTTAGATTTAAGAAAAACTGAATCATTTAACCAGTCATTTTTTGTGTATCAGAACGCATATTTTATCCAAAAAAATTCTTGTAAATCGTACTTTACTCCTGGCTCTCTGTCTATCTGTCTTCTAGTTTATCGGGTGAATCAATATCTTCCAATTTTGTTGTCTGTATCATTGCATCGATGACGTTCCTTTCCCTCTTTAATGTAAATCATATACGACACCAATTTTGATGAACCACATGCGGATTTCGACAAATTATGTCTCTTCATTGATGCTCATGCCGAAACATTGGAAACCCCGAAATATTTAATTTAAAAAAATCAAAGAGGTGTGAAAAGGGGGTGCCAAAGACTGGAGTCTACATCGAAGGATCAGAGCTATGCATAAGGGAGATAGTGGGCACGAGTTACACTTAAGAATAATATGCATTATTGTACTGTCTTTAAGACATTTTGCTAAAATACTTTTAACATAGATTTCTTGGATGGGGATGGGGGTGACACAGAAAACAATTTTGCATCAATGCAACCTTCTAAGAACAAGAGAGAAAAAGTCAAATATTTTATTAATACTTGAAAAAACTAAGGAAATCGTGCAAGTTTCAATAAAAATGGTATTTTAATCTTAACACAAATGAAAACGTGCAACAGAAAAACCATTTTCTTTCTAGAAATCACAGTCATTTGATTTTAACGTTTCCCCAAGTCTAGATCTAAACGCTATTTCTTCCTCCGCTTCTTCATCCGGGTATTCCAGGTAGGATTGACTCTCAATTAGGTCCATCAGAAATAAAGGAACATTTTTCATGGCGTTCTTTTCCAAGATTATTAGAAACAAAACATTTCTACCCTTTCGAGAATAAATGGCTTCCATTCTCGCCATATTTAACTCAAACATGCACCAATAGGAATCTAGAAAGTGTGACGTCATAATGCAAACAGTTCTTCTGCTACAGTGAACAGCATTTGTAATATTGTCCATTATTTCTGTACCGGGAATAAAATCTCTATGATGAATACACAATCGTAAGTCATATTCATTCTCTAGTTTACGTGTGATATTAAAGACAAAACTGCTGTCTTTATCTGCATAGGAAATAAAAGCATCAAAGCGATATGGGCTTTTCCTGATGATGTCATTATCAAAGACCTGACCATGATATTTCTCTTTTGCGACGTAATACATGTATCTGAGCTTCCATCTATATCTAAACACGATGCGACTCACTGTTGTTGTTAATGCAACAATTATCAATGTCGTCACCAATACTGTGATAAGTGTATACGAAGAACACTTTTTCTCCATTTTCTGAAGTAAATTTACAATTTCCTTCAATGGATATTCTTTAATACTTTCAAATTCACATGTGTAATTCTGCAACATAAAAACATTCAAAGCCTGTGAGTTATGAATCCAGTTGACAAAATCCAGATTTTCACAAGAGCACTTGAGTGGGTTACCCAACAAATTAACAACAACTTCTTTCTCTTTTGCTATGGTATTCAATGTTTTCCTTGTTGAAGATCCTAGATGAGTTAACTGATTGAAAGATAGGTCTAATAGTGATAGATTTCTCATGTGGTTTATCTGAACTGTAAATTCATTCAGAGAATTATGACTAAGGTTTAAATATACCAACATGTCGTTCCTTTGGAAAACGTCGGCTGAAAGCCTATGTATTCTGTTGTAAGATAAATCTAGCGATAACAGTCGAATTTGATTTAGAAGGAATTCCCCCTCTGTGTCTTTCTCAAATACTTGTCCGAGAGCATTGTTAGAAAGATTCAAAAATTCAATACCAGTAAAGTTTTTGAAAAATGATTTTGAAATGTAACCACAAAAGTTACCTGAAAAATCAATATGTCGAACATTTTCAATGCCTGTAATAGGTCCAATTGCCTCATACATGATATTTCTTTGAGCATACACGTGTGTTAATTTGTTGACAGGTCCTATGGGTAGTTTGGGTACGGACATTTTATACAAATTATCATGATAATAAATTTGTCGAAGATTAGGGGGCAGGTAGATTGTATAATTTTTAGCTTTTGTGAGATCGTTAAAAAAATCAGACATGGATCCGCCAAAAGATTTTTCATTGTTAATATCATTGTTATTCTCATTTTTTCTTGATACAGAAGAGTTAAAAACAACTCCTTGAAATCTTCTTGTGTCGTTGCATTTTTCGAAAAAGTCACCAGTCATCCCCATTTGATGAAATGAGGACTGAAAACTTACATTCAGTATCTCCAAACTTTGTAGAACAGCAAATTCCATGATATAAAGTCCAAAGCTTAGCACGTTATCTGCCAAATTTAGAACACGAAGTGATTTTGGAAGTGAAACTAAAACACCTATCTCCAAACTATTTATTCTGTTTGATGCTAAGTTCAATTCCTGTAGAAGAGTATTTTTTAAAAATACAATGTGAGATACTTTAAGAATCTGACTGACTCCGTAGGTGCACTGAAGTTTTTCAAAATTTAACGTTTTTATTTGTGAGTGTTTCAGATCAAATGATATATTAGAAATCGCTTCAATAGTAAGCATATTATTGTTTGAAATTTCAAGATGTTCAAGATTCGAAATAGTTTGAAATGTACCAATTTCAATATTGACAAGTTTGTTCCTAGAGACACTTAGATTTCGGAGTTGTTGATATTTTTCCACAGAGGAATCATCTAGTGAATGTAAATTGTTATGAGACAGATCTAGGTACATTACGTTTTGTGGAAGGTTTTGGGGTATGTTTTGAAAGTTGTTCTTTGCAAAGTTGATGCCAACGACATTGTTTGGAAAATCTGGTGCCTTATTCAGATCAAGACCTGCACAATCAGCAAAAACGTTTCCCCCTGATGATGTACAATGGCAACGGTTACCGCAAGGATACCCATACCGAGTTCCTGCCTCCATAAGGGAAAAATCTGGATGAAATTCAGAACTCTGTATAATATCGTCATACCTGAAAAAAAAAAACAAATTAGAAACATACTTTGTAACGGTCTGAGATTTTGGAGTAATCAGTAAAGGTTAGGGGTCGATTACTTTCAAAAGAAATTTATTAAGGACAGATGATTCGTACAGTATTTTGTGCACATGAGATGGATTAGGTTGATCGTCTGATTTCTGTCTAACATAAATATCTTTTTTATATTAAGTTTATTGCGATATTAAGTAAACCCGAACTGTTTTACATTCAGTGTGAAAAAATGGAAATAAACATACAATAGAACTAAGAGTCATCTACCCACCGTTTGAGCATTAAAGTGTGTGAAGAAAAAGTTGTCGGTCAAACTTCCGTTCTGTGCACTTTTTTGTTAGTCGGACAAACGCATTTATTCTAAATGATAGTATGTTAAGTAAGGAAATATATTCTATTTCAACTGGTGTACCAACACTGCAGTAAAAATTCATTTTCAGAATGACAATGAAACATGTGATTTACAGAGTCTGATTAATAGACTGGAAGAGTATAGTAAATGAAATGGCTTCTCTGAGTAATAAGCAACGAGAGAGAGAGAGAGAGAGAGAGAGAGAGAGAGAGAGAGAGACGGGCAAACATAACAACATAAATTTTGGATATATATTTTTCTACTTCAAAAATAATTTTTAATGCCTTATAGATTCGATTTTTTTATTGATAGGTTGCATTGTAAATAGGGCACCAGTCTTCACTTTTCAATTACTTTTATCATTAAAAAAAAGTGAAGCGGCGATATTCATGATGTTATTATAATAAGGAAGATTGGTAACAAAATCAATACATGTATAACAAGATGTGTTTTTGAAACTGTAATGAGTTCTTTTGGATTTTGTAGAGTTGAGAAGGAAAACAATATCAATCAGAATAAACAAATAAATTTATTAACACAAAATAAATAAAATAGAAAGCAAATAAATTCTATGTCACTCACTCACTCTCACATACAGGCTCACACACCGGAAAGATTGATTGATTGATTGATTGTATATTGTTTTACGTCCCATTCGAGAATTTTTCACTCATATAGAGACGTCACCATATACCGGTGAAGGGCTTCAAATTTTGACCTTTACTCGGCACTTAGGGCCATTGAGCAGTGAGGGATCTTTATCGTGCCAACGCCTGCCGTGACACGGGGCCTCGGTTTTTAAGGTCTCATCCGAAGGACCCGCAACTTTCACTTCAAAGTGCCGAGCGCATGGCGAAGGAACAGTTGCTACCTATTTTTTATCGACTTAGGTCTGTCGCGGCCGAGATTCGAACTCACGACCTCCCGATCACGGAGCGAGCGCTCTACCGACTGAGCTACCGTGAACGGTCACACCGGAAAGAAACAAATGTAATAGTAAACTGTTAACTCATTTTTCACCAATTCCGGTACTTTACATTAATTCAATATTAACTTCTACAATTCTGATTCAGTAAGTATCAGATATCATATCAAATGAAAAATTCACCAAAATTGACTTAAATAATATTCCGAAAAAGCTCAAATAAATTTTAGTTAATAATTATATATACTTCAAAAAATAATTTCCTTTTCTTAAACGGCTGAAAGTTACTCAATAGTTACTATATCACAACTGCTTATAAATGTTCACCGGAACTCACACCACACGTGCATCCGCCATTAGCACTCATCTAGGAACGTCTAAGTCCTGTACCGTTCTCTCGTCACCACGTGGTAGTTGCTTTAACCGTAGCCCCGGTTCAATCGCCTCCCACTGCGGTTATCCTACCAACATCGGTTCTTGTTCAGCATCGACGATTGAACATGACACGACTGGCCCTCCATCCAACGCTCCCCACTGACCTCAAACGCTTATAACAGTCGTCAACTGACCCTCAGCCCGTCTTCTATGTGCACAATATTCTCTCAGCACCTTACGCACTGAAATGAATTTACGTTTACAAAAACCTAACCTATATTACAACTGAAAACCGGAAATTATAACAATAATCCAACTATTTACATTATTCGAACACTCTTACCGGCTAGAACTGCATACACACGCTGCAATAGTCCGCCTAACAAGTTATATGGCTACCCGTTAAATTCGGTGCTATATCTCACCGAAATATATTCGCCACTTGTATAATCATGCAGGGGATAAAGCAAACGTGGCACACCTCCGGCTGGTCACGCTACGTATACCGGACACCAAACTAGATCTGACCACTCCGACAAAACCGGTCCCTTTATATACTCGTAACAAAACAACCTCAATAGTAAGGAAACCCGTTAAAACCAAAATTAAAACAGTATATACAAAAAAAAATCAACTTCGTCACAGAAACACTGATGCCCCCGTATGGCAGCTTATGGCGAAGGTTAAAGTTTCTCAAATGCAAGTCAAAATCCAGGCCAAAAGATAAAAGATGTTGATACCCAAAGAAAGGTCTTGTCTATATAGGAATATACCTGTGAAATTTGAAAGACCTAGCTGCAACTGTTCAAAAGTTATGGCGTTGGTTAAAGTTTTTTAAAATAAAAGTCAAATGTCAAGGTCAAGGTCAAAGTGGTTTGTATCCAAAGGAAGGTCTTGTCACAAGGATTACATATGTGAAGTATGAAAGCCCTAGCACCAACCATTCAAAAGTTATAGTTTAAGAAGTATTTTATTCATGATATACATAAATGTATATACAATGAATATGGATTGAACAGCAGGTAAAAATGGCCTATATAAGTTCTCTCCATTAAAGATCAAGGTACAAATTATGAAATGTTACAATAATATATATCATAACTTTTACAAAGACATGTATTTTAAACTAATTTTTAAGGAGGATACAATGTACAAAATTGAAAAAAGAGGGGAATTGAACAATAAAGTGGAATAATGAAAGGAAAGAGAGAGAGAGAGAAAAGAAAGAGGGTGGGGATAACGGAAAAGGGGAAGAGGCTCAGAGCCATATATATATATATGTACTTTCAGTGTACATGCTGCACATTAATGCTTATTACATTTTCACATTCTAAAATCTTTTAGTATTTTTTTTATAAAATTATGATCTTGATCAAATAATAACAAATTTTCTTTAAGAGATAGACAATCATAACCAGACAATACAATATTGTTATCTCTTGGTATGTCATGATCAATCATATATGAAATCAAAGAGTTCCTGGCAAGATCATAACATGGGCATTGAAAGAAAAAGTTATGACCAAGGTTAAAGTTTTTAGAAAGTAGGTCAAACTCCTATGTCAAGGTCAAAGGGTCAAAGTGGTTGGTATCCAAAGGAAGGTCTTGTCACACGGATTACATATGTGAAGAATGAAAGCCCTAGCACCAACCATTCAAAAGTTATGGCCAAAGATAAAGTTTTTCAAAAGTAGGTCAAACTCCTATGTCAAGGTCAAAGGGTCAAAGTGGTTGGTATCCAAAGGAAGGTCTTGTCACAAGGATTACATATGTGAAGAATGAAAGCCCTAGCACCAATCATTCAAAAGTTATGGCCAAGGTTAAAGTTTTTCAAAAGTAGCTCAAACTCCTATGTCAAGGTCAAAGGGTCTAAGCGGTTGCAATCCAAAGAAAGGTGATGTAACAAGGATTACATATGTGAAGTAAGAAAGCCCTAGCATGAACCATTCAAAAGTTATGGCCAAGGATAAAGTTTTTCAAAAGTAGGTCAAACTCCTAGGTCAAGGTCAAAAGGTCAAAGTTGTTGGTATCCAAAAAAAGGTCTTGTCACAAGGATTACATATGTGAAAGATGAAAGCCCTAGCTCAAACCATTCAAAAGTTATGGCCAAGGTTAAAGTTTTTTCAAAAGAAGGTCAAACTCCTAGGTCAAGGTCAAAGGGTCAAAGTAATTGATATCCAGAGGAAGGTCTTGTCACAAAGAATACACGTGTGAAGTTTGAAACCCCAAACACCAACTGTTCAAAAGTTATGGCCAAGGTTAAAGTTTTTCAAAAGTAGGTCAAACTCCAAGGTCAAGGTCAAAAGGTCAAAGTTGTTGGTATCCAAAGGAAGGCCTTGTCACAAAGAATACACATGTGAAGTTTGAAATCCCAAGCACCAACTGTTTAGAAGTTATGGCCAAGGTTAAAGTCTCATAAAATTTTCCAAAAGTGGGTAAAACTCCAAGGTCAAGGTCAAAAGGTTAAATATGATGGTACCCAAAGAAAGGTCTTGTCACAAGGACACATGTGAAATATGAAAGTCATAGCTCCAACCAATCAAAAGTTATGGGCAAGGTTAAAGTTGACAACAGACAGACAGACAAACAGACAAACAGATAAACAGACAGACAGGACAAAAACAATATATCCCCGGGATCTTTCGATCCCGGGGCATAAAAACGAAGCATAATGAACCTCCAAGTACAGAAAGTAATTTTAATACTTCAAGGTGAGGAGTGATACGCCGACCTAAACTCCGAATTTCTGCTTACATGCATGAGCTAGCAACTCTTGATTGGTTAAGAATATTTAAATACAGCTGATATTGGGAAAAAAGAAAAAAAAAAATAATTATTAAACAATGTTAGATTATTCCAAATTAACACTTTAAAAGTAAGTCATAAAAGATTGGAACAGTCGATATGCTTCAATTTCATTACAATCATGCATCTTGATATGAATTATGACATATATATATATATATATATATATATATATATATATATATATATATATATATATATATATATATAGAAAGCACAAATAAAATTCACTTTTTATAAGGATACCACTTCCGCCCCAGCTCGGGGTTGAACTCTCGACCTACGGAATCTGTCTCCTAGCAGTACAGGAACAGCGCACTAGACCGCTCGGCTATCTAGGCAAGTCAAAAAACTTGCTTTCGATGCCGATGGAATTCTCGCGGCGCTGCCCTACAATACACTGTCATTGAGAATGAAAGTGAGATGCAGTTATTTGGACATTAGTTTTATTAGAGGATTGTTTCCAATACACGTTGTAATGAAATTAATTTTTATTTATAAAGCACATTGTACAACAACTCTTAAACTAACATAATTGTCCTAAGTGAAGAAATATTAATATAGAAAGCACAAAGAAATTCACTTTTTATAAGGATACTCATATATATATATATATATAGAGAGAGAGAGAGAGAGAGAGAGAGAGAGAGAGAGACTCCTGAAACTTGCTACTACCCAAAAAAAGGTGTGTCTTTCGTGCGCTTTTCGTTTCGTAGAAAGCGTGAAGCGTTCGTGTAAACCGTGCAGTGTTTCGTGTAAGCTTTAAAGCGTTTCGTGTAAGCTTTAAAGCGTTTCGTGCAAACCAAGTAGCGAACGTGCGAGAAGCGTGTGAGAAATGTGCGACTTTCGTGCAAGAATCGTGTAGGTTTCATTCGGAAGTCATTTATTTCAAATATGGCTATTGATGGATCAAGATGTAATACGTTGTTGTTTGTAACAAATATTATTCGGATATATTATACCGGTGGTATTTTAAGAGTGAAAAAATACGGAGGCAACAAAATAAAATCACGCGGTAATGTATTACTACGGAAGCCGGTAGGTGCCAGGTAGAAAAATATTTTATCTGGCGGCCGCCAAATAATTAACTGGCGGCCGCCAGATAAATAACTGGCTGCCGCCAAAAACTTACCTGGCGGCCGCCAGATAAAAAGATCTGGCGGCTGCCAGATAAGTAATCTAGCGGCCGCCAAATAATTATCTGGCGGCCGCCAAATAATTATCTGGCGACCGCCAGAAAGTTATCTGGCTGCCGCCAGATAAAATATTTTTTCTACCTGGCACCAACCGGCTTCCGTATATTACATATTTGTCTGATTTTCTCTCTTTTTTATTTAAATAAAGATGGATAGAAAATATGGTTAATGTAATTACATGTAATTATATGTACAACAATTTTATGGTATTTTATTTGATACTTTTTTAAAGAGAGCAATAGTGATTTTTTTTTTTTTCAAACGAAAATTCATCAGGAATCCGGTCTTGTCCTTTTCATTAATTTATTTGAATATCTTTGCCATTTTACAATCAAAGTATATAGAGAATATAGGTGATCAATACAAAATAATTGATAGATCAGACAAGCGTGAAAAAAAAAATTTAAAAAAAAAACTTTTCTATACGTTTCTATAAATGTGAAGTATGGGCATTTTAGGACAGGGAACACATTCTATTTATTTTATTTGTAAACGAACATAATTTTCTTATATAAAAAGACTGTAATACAAATAATTTTTGAAACCATGAGTCATTCATAGTACTAAAGGCATAAAATTGTTTGATTTATAATTATCAAATAAATGAAGTATGATTCGCATGCATCGGCAAACATAGGGTTAAATATTTCCGGGGAGGAGGGGTTCAATGAAAACACAAACATTTTAGGTTTTTC